GAATCTCAATCCCAGTGACTTGAAAAACATTGCCAGCCCAAATCCTGAGAGGATGGAGAAATAGATATTGTGGCATGGAATTAATTACCCTATTATAAAGTGCTGCCTACCTCTGCCCTCCAACAAAGGTTAGCTGGCCAGGAGAAAGCAATGAGTCAAGATGCAGGTAAAAGTGTTAACCTTACAATTCTGACTGATGAGGGGAAAAGAGCTGGGAAATTCCCAGGAAATGACAAAGATGAGATGTGCTGTCCCTTGGAGCAGTCAGTAGGTGAAACATGACCTGTGTGCTGGAAACCACAGGGTCAGATTTTCACCTAGTTGAGACAATGAGCATATGCTTGGGTCCAAGATTTTTTTTTTTAGAATTATTTTACTTAACCTTATTTTTCAGTTTGACCAGAGAGGGAGGGAAAGTGACAAAGCAAGCCACCAGGTCCAGAATCCAAACCGCAATCAACCATGGAGTCCAGCACCTTTAACTACCACCCCATCTGTCAGCCCCTGTGTCTAACATCTTGGCAAGCTGTAGAACTGAGGTCACCCTGTTATGAGACCTTATTGAGAGTGCTTTTGCCCTGTCCCAATCTTGTGTGTATTTCCTGTATTATGAATAAAATAGCCACAAAAAAGATCAGGTGTGCCATAGAAAGGTGCTGGTGAAACAGTAAAATAAGGCTCCCTCTGATTATTGGCTTCTCTGGGCCCGGAGCACAAGTTCTTTGAAAGCAAAGGCTGTCCTGTAAACGCAGTGCCCAGGACAGTGTAATGGCATGCATAGAATATTTGTCTTAATTCAGTGCTAAAGGTGAGCACTGGTAGTAGGATTTTAGTTCTCAAGAAGAAATTAGAAGAGTTAGAAGCTGTTATGTCTTGAATGTTTGTGTATCCCCCAGATTTATATTTATATTGAAATACCCATAAAAGAAATTTAATATAAACTGAGTCTCTGTCAGTGATGAGATTCATGTCAGAACTAAGAGGTATACCATCTTGGGACCAGCAGATGGCATAATAGTTACATCACTGGCCTCCCAGGTAGTTGATTGAGGTTTGAATCCTGGACCCAGGAGCATGAAAATTGCTATGAAGTGCATGTGCATGCATACCCAAGAGGAGAATGGAGAAAGATTGCAGTGCGGTCATCCTCCCCTGGGGAGTGATTTTTTTGTCTCTGCAAAGTGCTCACACCCTAGAGCGAAAATATCTCTTAAAAAAAAAATGCACCATCTTTTTAAGATTTGCTATAGGGCATGTGTACTCACCAGAGAAACAGTGAGAGATAAAAGTGAGAAATCACCCTTGGGGAAATGACCACACTGAACTCTTCAATTCTCCTGGGATTTTTGGTACATGTGCACAGTGTGATTTTCAAGTCACCATGTCCAAGACAAACACTGCAGTTGACCATGTGGTCCAGACATTAACCACCACGCCACCTTCTGTTCTCAGTTATACACTAATAGTAAAACTACACCTTTCTATTGCCTCAGAAGTTGTTTGACACCCATGTTTTCATTGATGCTAACAAATTTGTTTGTGGTTAGCAACAATCCCAAAATTACTTTTATAGAAATGTGGTTGAGTAAAGTAATTTTACTTATGTTCTTATTACTGCTGATATCCATACTTTTAGGAACTGAAGGCCATACAATCAATAAAAATTGATGTGTAAGGTCTATTCTTTGGGGTACATTTTAATTTACATGGTTGAATTTTATCACTGACAGATTCTCAGGTTACATTTCTTTAAAATAAGAATTACTTGATTTTATTTTTAATTTGACCAGAAAGAAAACAAGCCAACAAGACTGGGACTCAAACCTCAGTCTGGCCATATGGGACATCCAGTGCCTTAACCACCACACCACCTACCAGCTCCTATATTTCTTTTTAAAAGTGAATGTACAAACACTGCTTAGAGTTTCATCATATACCAGAAATAACAGTAATGTCTTGAAATCCATGGGCTTCTCTGCACCTATCGATAATATTGAGTCATTGGAAAAGTCATGTTGCATTTTTACATAAGTTTTCCAACTACCAAATAGCTATAGTGCACTTTCTTAAAGGAGGTTGGTTACTTTAAATTCAATCTGTTTCTTTGGAGATTGCATTCATTTTCTCATGGAATAAATAGGTACTGGAAATACAGCAGTGAAGCGAGTAGACAACAGTCTCTGTCCTTGGTCCAGTTGTGGTTCAAGTGCTAGGGTGCCACTCTGAAATGCTGGGGACATGTTGGAAGACCAGGGGTTCATATCACAAATTAACAGTCAGCTATGGTCCTGACTGACTGGAAAAGCTGGAAACAGCTATGGTCCTGACTGACTGGAAAAGCTGGATGAGAGGGGTGGATCCCAGCATGAGACCCACAACAAAGGTTCCTGTCTTTCTGTCATGCAGTTGGATGTACACACACATACTTTAAATAGAATTAAAAAAACCTTAAAAAAATTTAATCTTATTGTCATTATTTCTAAAAGTTGCTACAGGGCACACATGTAACAGGGAAAGTGAGAAAGCAAAGCTAGGTCAAGGACTCAAGCCACAGTTCATCATGTGGGAATTCAGTGCCTTAACCACCATGCCACCTGCTGTCCCCAAAGATCCCTGCTTTTTTTTTTGTTTTAGGATGGGTGCATTTTGCTGGAAAGAGACAGGGAAACTAAGAAATCACCTCTCAGGGAGATTGCCACACCACAATCCCTTCTCCATTCTCCTGGCATCTTGGACTCACATGCACACATGCTCAGCATGAGTTTTAAGCCACTGGGTACGGTATTCAAACCGCAGTCAGTCATGTGGGTGTCCAGCAATGTAACCACTATGCCATCTGCTGGCCCCAAGATCCCTACTTTTGTGGAGCTTACCTCTTGTTTTTTAGATGTTTTGTTATAGGGCACATGTGCTCACCAGACAGAAGCAATGTAAGAAATTACCCCACAGTGAAATGAAGCTGCAATTCCTTCTCTATTCTCAAGATTTAGGCATACACACACGGTGTTATTCTCCAGCTGCCAGGTCCAGAACTAGAACCACAAAATTAGCCATATGGGATCTAGCACTTTAACCACCACTGTACCTGCTGGCCCACATTTCAGAGAAAACACAAAAATCAGGGGTTTTTGCCAGAAGGAGTAAGTGCTTGCCAGAGACAGCGATAGAAGGAAAGAGAACACCCCCGAAGGAGGATGATCCTGCCACAATCCCTTTTCCATTTCTCCATCCTGCAGAGATTTGGGGCACTCACATATACAGACATGTGTCCCCAAGGCAGGGACTCAAACCATGGTCAGCCATGTGAGATCTAACTCCTTGAACCACTTGGTCAAAAGGGCTGACTCTGGAGCTTCATTTTAATAAAAGAAGGACACTACATAAAAAATGTTGTATATTACAAAATGAGATCTGGCTAGGGAGAAATGTTCACATGTTGGAATATTCACTTTGTAAGCTGAATAATGTGATTGACTATATAAAAGAAAATTAAATAATAAATAAAATGAGATCTGGGGGTCAGCTGGTGGCGTAGTGGTTAGGGCCCTGAACTTCCACATGGCAAACCGTAGTTCAAATCCCAGACCTGTTGACTTGCTTCCTCGTGTTCTGTCTGTCTCTGGTGGGCACACATGCCCTATAGCAAATATAAGAGTAATAATAAAGAGGACCACAGGTAGTGTAGTGCTCAAGGTGCTGGACTCACATGACTGAATACAGTTTGAATCCTGGACCCTGGAACTTGAAACTCAGGCAAGGCACATGTATGTGCATGCCCAAAATCCCAGGAAGAGAGCGAAGGAGAACGGATTGCAGTGTGGATCTCTAGGGATGATTTCTTGCTGTCTGTCTATCTGTCTCTCTACCTAACACGTGCTCTATAGCAAAAATCTCTCAAGTAAATAATTCTAAAAAGAAAATGAGATGAACTGTGATGTAAAAATGAATAGAATGCAAGACTTTGGGAGTAGTTTGGGAAAGTGATTGATCCTGCAAGATTTTTTTAAGAATTTTTTTTATTTAACTTTATTTATTATTATTATCACTATTATTTTACAGTTTGATCAGAGAGAGACAGAGAAAGAGAGAGGAAGTGAGAAAGCAAGCTACCAGGTCCGAGACTTGAACCGTGGTCAGCCATGTGGGAGTCGAGCGCCTTTAACCACTATGCCACTTGCCATCCTCTGATACTGCAAGATTTAATGGAACTGACGGGATAGCCTTTTAGGAGAAAGTGGGATTAATTTAGCAAAGATTTACTGAAGGAGAGGATTTGAATCATTAACTTACCTGGGAAAAGCGCATTTCCATGGCATTGGCTCAGGAACAGGAGCATGCACAGTAAGGAAGGAGAGGTAAAAGGACATGTAGGTCATATAGGCCTTATGGGTAATTGAAAGGATTTCATTCTGAGTAAAATGGGAACCATTGTAAAAGAAAACACAAGCTCCATCTATGATTGATATATATCAAAATCTGTGAATCCTACCCCTAGGGCTCAGATTGTGACTCTAAATGCCATTAAAAGGAGCCAGGGCTTGTTGGAGAAATGACTTATTACAGAACTGAGGTAAGAAATATAGAAGAGCTCAGTGCATCTTGCTTGCTATCACAGCAAAAAAGCAAAATTGCTGGTGTTGTGTTGAAAGAACTCAGGAGCCAACTAGAGAGTCTACCGTTGTCCAAAGATGGAACATTTGGCTATTACTAAGGACAATAGTTACAATAAATCGAAATGCATGAAATAGGTTTGAATCTGTGAATTCATAATGATACCTTAAAAAAACTGATTTTGGTATTGTTAGAGGATGCTAGTTCACCAACTTACCAATTTTAGAACTACAAATAAAGGGACTTTCCAATACCAGAAACACTAATAGATAACCAAATAGAAAATGAGAAAAAGTTTCTGTTTATTGGTGATTCTCATTAACAACTGAAACAGGTTGACATAATTAGAATATCACTGTTTCATGACATCTAATATATTATGTATCTAGGCAATGATCATCAACATCCTAAGGACAGATGACCAGATAAGTGCCCTTGAAGGAAGAATTCAACATTGCCTGTGAAGCACTCCTGCCTGAAAACATCAAAAATGAGTATGAATTTGATAAAGCCTCTGGATATAACTACCAATTTACAGATGACAGAAAAATATGTTAAACTACATCACAGAAATAAAATTGAAATTTATAGTCTATGGAAAACTCGACAACACAAATGATTTCTTTAATAAATAAATTGTGGGAGAGGTGGTGAGAAAATAAATACATACATAAATAAATTGCAAGAAAAGAAAAAAACGAATTGAATGGAACCTTATAAATCAAGGGGCTAAAAAAATACATCAACATTCTCAATGTTTGTATCTCATCTGGATTCTGATTCACTATCGTGAGAAATTATGACACTTATGGGATATTTGAATACTGGCAGAGCATTTCATGTATTAAGGAATAATTAGGGCTTTTGTTAGATATGATAATAGTATTATGGCTGGTTTTTTTGTTGTTTGAGTGTGTACTTTGTAGACATGTGTACTGAATTATTTATTGATGCGATAATTTGATGTCTAAGATCTGCTTCAAAATAATACAGAAAGTGAAGGAAATGCTTGAAGGGTATAGAAGAAATAAGACTGGTTTTATGTTGATAATTGTTGAGGCTTGATGAATTTGTGGGAGTTTATTATATTCTTTCTCTATATGTTTGAAATTTTTACAATAAAAAGGTTTTTTTATCTATGAGCTCTTTTTAAAGTTGATTTCATATCTAGCAAAAGATGCTGTATTTCTTTACAAATCTTAACAATTTGATTTTACTGCATAGCTATAGGACAGTGGTATAACCCTCTCCATATTGACATTTAGTGTCTTTACAAATCCATAGTGCTCTCATGTGTTCTTTTTGTGATTAAATGTACAAAATACACAGCTAACCTATGGCCTGATGGTTAAAGCAGCTGGATCCGACCTAGTTGCCAGTGTGGTTTGAGTCCTGGACCCAGCAACTTGAAAAATATGGTGCTGGGAGAAGAGAGAAAGGAAGGGATTGCAGTGTGACCAATTTCTATGAGGAGTGCTATCTCTTTCTCTCTTCCTTTCTCTCTCTCTCTGCAGTGAGCACACATGCCTTCCGGACAATTAAAAAAAATTAAGGTATACAGTGCAGAGCATAAACTCTAGAGTCCGTTTACATTCATTAAATTAAAATAATAGGAATTCAGGAGGCACATGGTCAGGAGGCCATGCTGCACACAATCCCTTCTCCTCCGTTCTTTTCTTGGAATTTTGAACATGCACACACTCATGTGCCTGGCATGAGTTTTAAGCCACTGGGTCTGGGACTCTAACAGCAGTTAACTTGTGGGAGTCCAGTAATGTAACCATCTGCTGGTTCCCAGGGTTGTTTTCTTAAGTGTTATGCATTCTGCTTTGTAATCTGGTGGATCCTTGTGTACTGCAAAAAAAAAAGATGTAGGAAAACATAGCTTTGAGTTGGAGAACATAAAGGCACAAAGCAGAATTGATAACAAATAATATAAGGATATTATTTGGTATAATATGCTGGTGTCCCATGTATGAGGGATTCTTCAAAAAGTTCACGGAAATGCATGTTACAAGAAGACTATGCATTCATTTCAAAACGTTTTACACCACAATACATTTGTATTTTAATTCCATTTTCCATTAACTTTCCGAAGTCCTCTCATATAGTTTGTTGGTCAGATTGTCCTATGTGAGCCAAGGAAGGTGAAAGATGTGAAGGTGAAATGACCAAGATACATTTTTCCCCTTATTTTTTCAGCATGCTTCTAATAGTAAGTCCTAATTAACTACCAATGTAAAAGAAAATAATTTTTAAATTTTATATATTATTATTATTTTAAAATTTGCTATAGAGCACATGTGCTCACAAGAAAGAGGAAGAGAGACAGAGAGAGAAAGCATGTCGCCAGGTTCAGGACTCGAAGCATGGTTGTCCATGTGGAAGTCTAGGGTCTCAACCACCACTCCCCTTATCTGCCAATTTGATGGTAGATCTTAACAGGCAGTAGCTGGGTTCACTTCCCATAAATAAAGTATCTATAATAATAAGAAGAAAGAAGATTCAGTAGTGGGACCAGCACTTGGCATAATGGCTATGTTACTGGATCCGATCCCATGTACCATGGTTCAAGTCCTGGACCTGGTGGCTTAAACTCACATCGGGGGTATGTGCATGCGTGCCCAAGATCCCAAGAAGAGAATGGAGGAGAAGGGATTGCAACATGGCCAACCCTCTGGAGGGTAATGTTTCACTTTCTATCTCTTTGTCTCTCTCTCTCTCTCTCTCTGTCCCTCAGGCAAGTGTATGCACCCTATGGCAATAGTCTATCTGGGGCGGGGGGACCACTGCTGTTCTTTTTGCTATAGGGCACATGCACTCACTGGAGATAGAAAGAGAGATAGAAAGAGAAAGTGAGAAAGTACCCCCTGGGGGGATGGCTACTTCATGATCCCCTTTTCTCCATTCTCCACTCAGGATTTTGGGCACACATGCACAAGCACCCAGTGTGTCTCTCAAGTAATTGGGTTCAGAATTCGAATCACACAGTTGGCCATGATTCAGCCACCCCAATTTCCATGCCTCCTGCCAGCCCACCTATCTTTTTACTACAAAAATTTCAAAAAGAATTTAAAAATTGAAAGAACAATATATTAAACACGTGAAGCCATAAACATTTCTATTCTTTTTCAAATCATTCCTGTTTTCTTGACCCAAATGATTAAAATTCTGTATATTCTCTGACAGCCACATATTTTTTAAAATTCATATTAGTTGTATATTCCCATTTTGCATTTTTGCAAAAATTAGGGAGTATAGTAAACTTCTTATTTTTTTATATTATTTTGACCAGAGAGGGACAGTGAGAGAGAGAGAGAGAAAGTGAGAAAGCAAGCCACCCAGTCCAGGACTCAAACCACCTTTGGCCATGTGGGAGTCCAGTGCCCTCAACTACCATGCTACCTGTCGGCCCCACAATTGTAATACACTTCTATAAAAGCTTAAAAGAGTTTTAATATAGGGCCAGCAGGTAGCACGGTGGTTGAGGCACTGGATTCCCACATGACTGACTACAGTTCAAGTCCTGGATCTAGATGGTTATTAAAACATTATCTTTGTAATTATTTAATAAGACAGGTGATTCTATGTAATGAAATTTTCTAAAATAAACTTTTTGTATTTCAACATGTCTTCTGTGTATATCTCTATCACTCTCTCTCTCTCTCTTTTTTTTTTAAGGTTTTTGGCATAGGGCTTGTGTGCAGCTTGTGTGCTTGCCAGAGAGAGACACAGAGAGAGACTCTCAGGACTTAGGCGTGCACACACACTGAGTTTTAAACCACCAGATCTGGAACTCAAACCACCATCAGCCATGTGGGAGTCAGCCATGTGGGAGTCCAGCACCTTAACTACCAGGCTACCTGCTAGCCCCTATATATATTTCTTAATAAAATGCCATATATATCTTGAGATGCTTCTATTTAATATAACATAAGACTCAACTCAAAGTAGCTTAAACTATACACAAATTTCTCAGCTCTTTCAAAAGTAAGCTCAGAGATAATATAAATAGATTGACTTGTTAGCTAAATTATTATATTAAAAACCCAAATTCATTCCATATCGCAACTTTACCACCTCAGTCTATAAGCTTTGCCTACAGGATGGCTTCTTTTGTGGTCACAAAATGGCAAGACTGGGACCAGCAGTTAGCATAATGGCTATGTCACTGGACTTCCATGTAGTCGAAAACGGTTCGAGTCCTGGACCCAGTGGCTTAAACTCACACCATCAACATCCTAAGGACAGATGACCAGATAAGTGCCCTTGAAGGAAGAATTCAACATTGCCTGTGAAGCACTCCTGCCTGAAAACATCAAAAATGAGTATGAATTTGATAAAGCCTCTGGATATAACTACCAATTTACAGATGACAGAAAAATATGTTAAACTACATCACAGAAATAAAATTGAAATTTATAGTCTATGGAAAACTCGACAACACAAATGATTTCTTTAATAAATAAATTGTGGGAGAGGTGGTGAGAAAATAAATACATACATAAATAAATTGCAAGAAAAGAAAAAAACGAATTGAATGGAACCTTATAAATCAAGGGGCTAAAAAAATACATCAACATTCTCAATGTTTGTATCTCATCTGGATTCTGATTCACTATCGTGAGAAATTATGACACTTATGGGATATTTGAATACTGGCAGAGCATTTCATGTATTAAGGAATAATTAGGGCTTTTGTTAGATATGATAATAGTATTATGGCTGGTTTTTTTGTTGTTAGAGTGTGTACTTTGTAGACATGTGTACTGAATTATTTATTGATGCGATAATTTGATGTCTAAGATCTGCTTCAAAATAATACAGAAAGTGAAGGAAATGCTTGAAGGGTATAGAAGAAATAAGACTGGTTTTATGTTGATAATTGTTGAGGCTTGATGAATTTGTGGGAGTTTATTATATTCTTTCTCTATATGTTTGAAATTTTTACAATAAAAAGGTTTTTTTATCTATGAGCTCTTTTTAAAGTTGATTTCATATCTAGCAAAAGATGCTGTATTTCTTTACAAATCTTAACAATTTGATTTTACTGCATAGCTATAGGACAGTGGTATAACCCTCTCCATATTGACATTTAGTGTCTTTACAAATCCATAGTGCTCTCATGTGTTCTTTTTGTGATTAAATGTACAAAATACACAGCTAACCTATGGCCTGATGGTTAAAGCAGCTGGATCCGACCTAGTTGCCAGTGTGGTTTGAGTCCTGGACCCAGCAACTTGAAAAATATGGTGCTGGGAGAAGAGAGAAAGGAAGGGATTGCAGTGTGACCAATTTCTATGAGGAGTGCTATCTCTTTCTCTCTTCCTTTCTCTCTCTCTCTGCAGTGAGCACACATGCCTTCCGGACAATTAAAAAAAATTAAGGTATACAGTGCAGAGCATAAACTCTAGAGTCCGTTTACATTCATTAAATTAAAATAATAGGAATTCAGGAGGCACATGGTCAGGAGGCCATGCTGCACACAATCCCTTCTCCTCCGTTCTTTTCTTGGAATTTTGAACATGCACACACTCATGTGCCTGGCATGAGTTTTAAGCCACTGGGTCTGGGACTCTAACAGCAGTTAACTTGTGGGAGTCCAGTAATGTAACCATCTGCTGGTTCCCAGGGTTGTTTTCTTAAGTGTTATGCATTCTGCTTTGTAATCTGGTGGATCCTTGTGTACTGCAAAAAAAAAAGATGTAGGAAAACATAGCTTTGAGTTGGAGAACATAAAGGCACAAAGCAGAATTGATAACAAATAATATAAGGATATTATTTGGTATAATATGCTGGTGTCCCATGTATGAGGGATTCTTCAAAAAGTTCACGGAAATGCATGTTACAAGAAGACTATGCATTCATTTCAAAACGTTTTACACCACAATACATTTGTATTTTAATTCCATTTTCCATTAACTTTCCGAAGTCCTCTCATATAGTTTGTTGGTCAGATTGTCCTATGTGAGCCAAGGAAGGTGAAAGATGTGAAGGTGAAATGACCAAGATACATTTTTCCCCTTATTTTTTCAGCATGCTTCTAATAGTAAGTCCTAATTAACTACCAATGTAAAAGAAAATAATTTTTAAATTTTATTTATTATTATTATTTTAAAATTTGCTATAGAGCACATGTGCT